CTGTGTTTGTTGGAATGCCTTTATCAGTGGAGATCAAGGCCCCAGCTTACTGGGAAGCACTGGAGAAAGCCAACCACACCTCTGCCTTCTTATGAAAATGAGACTAAACTATTGGATTTTACTCTCCACTGTGGTTTGTCTTCCCTAAACCACTGAAAGCCCTGGAAACAAAGCTTTTTACGTTTCCATCTTCATTATTTTGGCTGGGAGTTGTTTTGGCATTTCTCTGACATTCTTGTTTTGTGTGCTTGTTTTCTTTTGATTCCTTAGGGAATTTATTTGAAGGGCAACAGATTTATTGTCAAGCATGTTGGACTGTTTATTTTAAGACCAGATTTTGTAGTTGTGGAAATTGACTTATCTGGAGAAGAACCAGAACTGGAATGGTCTTGACCAGTGATTTTCAACCGGTGTGCCACAGAAATGTTTAAAACATGCAATACTTGACTATTGAGTCAGGAACACTGACCTCTTTTCCTTTGGATTGTGAAATAAAATTTAAAAATGACAACAGTGAACACAACAATAGCCTTCCAGTGTGAATGAATCAAAATTATACCCCCTTTTTTATCTGATAAGCAAAAACTATATTTTCAATGTGCCAAATAATTTTAGTAATTGGTTTATGTGTGCCATGGGATGAAAAACGTTGAAAATTGCTGCTCTAGACAGCCAAGAATGGTGAATGCTGTGCTGGCTAGGATTTCATGTAGCCCGAGGCAGGGGCCATCCTTTTATATATATACTAGAGGCCTGGGGCATGAAAATTCATGCACTGGGGGTGTCCCTCACCCCAGCCTGCACCCAATTCAGCTTGTGGTACTTTGTTTGGAAGCCCCAGAAAGCTAAAACACAATGGATAGTTTTTTGGAAAAATGTGATATTTTTAAAAACATCCCCTGGCAGCCTGGGAGCCCTCGAGGGATGTCCGACTGACAGCTTAGGCCCACCATCAGTCAGACATCCTTTCCACTGCCACTGTACTCACAGCCGTCAGCCCAGCTTGTGGCTGAGTGGAGCTCCCCCTGTAGGAGGGCACTAACCACCAGGGGGCAGCTCCTGTGTTGAGCATCTGCCCCCTGGTGGTCAGTGTGCATCATAGCGACTGGTCGTTCCTGGTCATTCTGCCCTTAGGGACAATTTGCATATTATCCTTTTATTATATAGGATGTTTTTATTGATTTTAGAGAGAGAAGAAGGGAAAGAAGGAGAGAGAGAGAAACCTGGATGTGAGAGAGAGGCATAGATATGCTGCTTCCTACACACCCCCTACTGGGTATCAGGCACATGCCCAGAAAGGAAATTGAACCATGACCTTTGGGTGCATCGGAGAACATTCAACCAACAGGGCAGGGGCCATCCTTTGACCTGTGCAATGGAGCCCTGTTCTGGGGCTCATGATTTAGGGGTTCTGCTCTACCTCTTCTTGGCCCTTCATTCCCAAGGCCAGAATGGTATAGTAGGTCTGAGAAGCCAAAGGATATGGCCACTTGGAACCCTGGCACCTGCCACCTTTGGTCTCCTAGACTGAGGTGTCTGGGACCTGGGACTCTTCACCCCAAAGGTCCCCAACTTTCTTTGAGAGGCGGTTGTGTCTTTCCCCTGGTCTATGGCAGTTCACTTGTCTTTAGGCTGGCTGGTGGTTAAGGAGCAAGTGTTGTGAGAGGAACAAGGGAGGGGAGGGACCGGTAAAGCAATGGAACCAAATATGAATTTAACAATGGGTGTCTATACAAATTTTCAGCCTCCCCCGCCCCCCCCAATGTAGGACAGAAATGGGGAGGATGGAGTTGCTGCCAGACCTAGCCAGTTTGTTTTCATACATAGGAGAAAAAATTGCCCCATCTTTTACATGAATTACAGTTAGGAAAGAAAATAATTAGGATATATTGTTTGCAACAGTTGTAGTTTGCACTGTATTCCCCTAGAACAGTGGTTCTCAACCTTCTGTCCCTTTAAATACAGTTCCTTATGTTGTGACCCAACCATAAAATTATTTTCGTTGCTACTTCATAACTGTAATGTTGCTACTGTTATGAATCGTAATGTAAATATCTGATGCACAGGATGGTCTTAGGTGACCCCCAAAGGGGTCGCGACCCACAGGTTGAGAACCGCTGCCTTAGAAGATATGTAAAGTCCTAGCACCTGGAGCCTGTGACTGACATTTGAAAATAAGGTTCTTGCAAATGTGATTGAGTTAAGATGAGGTCATACATGGGCTCTAAATCCAATGACTGCACCTATAAGTAGAAAAACGCGAAGACACAGACACAGAGGAAAAAGGCATGTGAAGAGAGAAGCAGAGTTAAGCTGTCAGAAGCCACTGAGCACCAAATTTGTAGGAAAAGACCAGTATGTAGAGAAAGGTGTGGAAGAGTTTCTTCCTAAGATCATCCACAAGGAACCCATTTGCCAACACCTTGTTTTCGGGTTTCTGGGTTCTGGAATATGAGGGAGTTGTTTTACTCCATTCAGCTTGTGGTACTTTGTATGGAAGCCCCAGGAAGCTAATACACAATGGATAATTTTTTGAAAAATGTGATATTTTTGAAAATCATGTTATTGATACTTTAATGGAGATTACCACAATAATATCATAACCTTATTCCCCAAGGTTTTCCAAAGCTCTTCCTAACTGTGAATAAAGAGCAAAAATCATCTGAAGATAATTTTCTTTCTAAAAAAAATTATATATTTATCTCCAAATGAGCTGTCCCATCCGATATAAATAAGCATTGAGTATTCTTTTATTCCAGATTTAGCAAATCATTACTGTCATGTTCCTTGTTCTTCTAAATCATTTCTATTAACATTGTTGATATGAAGACTTTATATGGAGATGAAGATAAGAAATAGCTGATACTCAGAAAAGTTAAAATATTATGTGGTTCAACCTAATACACTAATATTAAGAGTCCTTACAGTTACCAACACACTTGATTTATCAAAAAGGCTTAGCTCCTTCAAGAATGTGGCTTAATATATTATAAATAGACTGAATGGTTGGCAGGAGAGATCACTTATGTTTGTGAATGATACCAAGTTGGTGGAGATTAACATTATCATGTAGGGCCAGACAGGAATGCAAAATGATACAATCAATTTGAAAGAGTAATGTGCACTGGATGAAGTGAATTACAATTATGGTGCATGCAATATTTGAAAAATGCAACAGGAATAGAAACGTTTACATGGACTGGGTCACACACAGAGGACTTTTAAAGTCACAGCCAATCACAGATGCAGGCTCTGCTGAACTTGCCCAAATGGGACCTCTGAGCCATTCATTCTGACTGACCATCTGGACCTCATCATGTGGATTTTGGCTGCCACATTGAATAACTGTTGGCACCAGATCAATGATTCCATTCCGTTGTGGTCTATGAATATCAGGCATTAAGACATCTTATATAAAACCCTAATATGCAAATTGACTGAACGGCATAACGACCTGTCGCTATGACGCACATTGACCACCAGGGAGTAGACGCTCAACACAGGAGCTGCCCCCTGGTGGTCAGCGTGCTCCCACAGGGGGAGCACTGCTCAGCCAGAAGCCGGGCTCATGGCTGGCGAGTGCAGCGGCAGTGGTGGGAGCCGAGCAGGCCTAAGCCAGCAGGTCGTTATCTCCCGAGGGGTCCCCAGACTGCGTGAGGGCACAGGCCGGGCTGGGGGACCCCCCTCCCCTCCCGAGTGCACAAATTTTTGTGCACCTCTAGTAATATTATAATATAAGCCAGTCAGAGAATGATAAATATCACATGATATCACTCACTTGTGGAATATAATGAACAACATAAACAAATGAACAAAAACAGATCCAGAAATAGAGAAGCATCAATCAGACAGTCAAACCTCAGAGGGAAGGGAGGGGAGGGTGGGGGTAAGGGGGAGAGATCAACCAAAGGACTTGTATATGTTCATATAAGCCTAACCAATGGACACAGACACCAGAAGGGTGAGGGCATGAGTGGGAGGTGAGGGGGGGGTGCAATGGGGGGATAAGGACACATATGTAATACCTTAATCAATAAAATAAAATAAAGAAGAATACTATCCCTGCAACCCATTCAAACTCTCCTCACCTTTCAAGGCCTATTTAAAGGTCAAGGAAGTCCAGAAAGTCTCTTCCTTTTTATTTCTATAGGTCATAAACTGTATTGCTCAAACTTAACAGAAAGTTTGACATCAATTCTCTTCATATGTCAGTCTCAACTTTGAATTTGTAAATTCTTTGGGGCCAAGGGCCAAGGGTTATACATATTTTGCACTTCAGTCTAATTAATATGTAGCCAATGAAAACATTAGTAGGCTTCATTAAGCAGATTTAATAAAGTTAATGATCCCAGCAATAAAAACAGCAAAATGTAGATTTGAGAGCATGAAAGGTTGAGAAACTTGTGTGGCAATAGATGAATGTGGGTCTTATTCTTTTGATTCTTGAACCAAATTTCCTCATTGAGAAACAAGCTATATACTTAACTTTCCTGTCAATCTTACCCAAGGTGATATTTATATATCTATACAATTTTATTACATGTTAGATTCAAATAAGTAAAAGGCCAAAGTTTGGTTGAGTGGAGATTCATGTAAGATTCCTTACTCAGAATTTGTAGTTTTATGTGCTATAAAGTGTACTTATATGAAAATAATTTTTACTAGGCTTTTGTCTATGCAATGTGGAGGTACTGAGTTTTTTTCTATGCTAAATTTTTTTATGTTTATTACACTTCAGGTTTATTATCTATCCTAATGTCTCTATAAATTAATGTTTTAGCATGATTTCTCAAAGTTGCTTATTTTAATAAATTTTACATACTCCATTATACTGTATATAATAATATCATTACCCTTTAGTCAATGTAATATATATGTTTGAATTTATTATTGCTCAATCTTGAACCAACATTACCCTTAAGTCTTTTAGTTATAATAATGTGTGTTTTTTGTTTTTTGGAAAACAATTTGAGTCTAACTGGATGTCGTTAAATCCTCAGGCCATGGTAAGTGTGACTGCGGAAAGTGCAAATGTGACAAAGGATGGTCTGGGGATGCTTGCCAGTACCCAACTAATTGTGATCTGACAAAGAAAAAAAGTAACCAAATGTGCAAGAATTCTCAAGATATCATCTGCTCTAATGCAGGTAAGAATTTGAATCTATGAAGATTCTTAAGTGAAATAATCAAATTTGGGTTTTTAATGGAAGTACTTATGCACTTCGGAGTGTTGAACCTCTGAATGAGACTGCTTCTGAGTATATTTTCTAGAAATGAATATCAGATAAATCAATAGAAAAAAATGTCATCTTGCTGAGACTGGCAAGTTTGATATTCTCCAGCTGTTCCAAATGCCTCCTTCAAGTAGGAAATTCACTGGAGACAACACCCCGATGACATTTGATATACATTGTCAGCCCTGATTTTGAATGCTGAAATAAATCTTTGAAAAATTATTTATATAAACTGACTTAATTATTTTCTGTTACAGATTCAGATTTGTAAGCCATCAAGTAAAATCAAACCTTTTTAATTAAATAGAAGTTTCTGATGCACTATATGAAACTCATTAAAGAATACAGTGACAGCAAGCTTTTTTGTTTGATCAAAATATTTTTACCTCTCACAGAAATCATTTAAAATATATTTTTAGAAATTTAAATAAAGCTGTTAAAATTAATTACCAAAACCCTATTTAAAAAATAAAACAACTACAGTTTCATACAGTTTCAATTCCAATGGTTTTCAGCCAGTATTACTATAATTAAATTCTCTTAACATTTGGTCACATGGAGCCTCAAAGTCAGCTTTTCGCAACCTGCCTGAACTTGAGAATGTTGGTGTCCTAAACTAGAGGCTGTGATTCAGTTGTCTCAGGGTATGGTCTGGACTATAGTTGATTTTTAAAGCTCTTGTGTAATTCTTATGTAGATCCAGCAGTCTGAGCCTTTGCTCTTCCTGTTATAAGCAAGGATTTGACTACAGGCATGAATATCTTCCCTCCGGAAGCTTACTTTGTTGGTAGAGTCCTGCAATCAGAGATAAGGCCTTTCCAGTTTTTGATCTGCAACAAATTGCTCTTGTGCAGCCTAAGTGCAGTGAGGTGGTTTTGCTCTTGCTCCTAGGAATCAGAGCCACGTCCAATGCAAGATGTGTATGGACCAATCAGGGGCCATGACTAATGGTCTCAGCAGCCAGGCCACTTTCTGTGTTTACTGATATTCTTGCTTCTTTCAGGCTTTTCTTTTCTCTCAATCAGATTTCTCTACTTCCAGTTCATAGCACCCACCCCTCCAAATGTGTGTGCACCCACACGCTCACCCCTCACACCCCCACACAGCTTCTTTTGTTTTGAAAACTTCATGCTTTCCAAACTTTCTTAAGTAATAATACTTGAATTTTGTTTGTTTCTTTGTTCTTTATTTTTTTGGATTTATTTATTTTGTTTTCAAGTTAAATTCAAGGTATTGGGTTTTGTGGTTTTTTTTTCTCCTTCTTTTTAATAATATACTCAACAGGTAGATTTTAGCTTAGGAATCCAAAGATGTTTCAACATAAGAAATCTAAACATGTGATGCACTACGTTTAGATATCTTCAAGGGGAAATTTTACAGAATTCTTTTAGTAGATAAAAACATTTAGTAAGGTACAAAACACATTTCTCAGATATCTGTATCCCTATATTTTTTAACATTAATACAAAGCTTTTATGCAATCTGCCATTCATATTCCAGTTTTTTCAATTGACCCAACAATGTTTATTCTTTATAGCCTATAGTCAGTTCTATTTTGACCAGCCTAGTTCAGGACCACTCCGCTCAAATTGCATTAGTGTGAGTTCTTTCTATTAATCTTTCTTTCCACTTCATATTACAATGTGGTTTTCTGGAAGTAGCTTGGAGCAGAAGGGGAAAAGAGGTAAATGGAGTGGGGCATACGACTGAAGGGCAGGCTGAGATGGAGCTGGGGACTGATGGAGTTCCAGAATCTTCTGACTCTGTAGGGGCCCAGAAAGGCAAGCACAGTCTGCAGGGTGAAGTAAAGTGTGATGCCATTGCACAAGGGTGTAGGCTAATGTTCAAAACTGGGAAGCTATCCTAGAGAGAGACAGCTATATTAGTCAGAAGGATGTGTCTGTGCTAAAATAATCTGGCATAAAGCAGAAGACCAGTCCTAGAACCTGAGTTAACTGGCAACCAAGAGAGGGAAGCAGTATGACATAGCATGAACACAGGAGTCTGGCACTTTTGCCTGGTCTTCCATATGCCATGTCTTGGAGCTTCAATTGTGATTTCTACTTGGTAGGGGAGACAGGAAGTCTTTGAGCTGCTGTAAACTTCCTACATCAGCCAGGAATGGTTCCAATGTGTGAATGGGAGTGAGCCTGCCTGTGGGAGATGTCAGTGAGAAGTTGTAGAATTCAGAAGAAGAGACCGTTTCTTCCCATCTTTCCTGAAAATAACTACCGCATACACTCCTGTGTTATACCTCTCTCTCCAAAACCACGAAGCCTCCAGGAATTCCAACAGATAAATTCTAAAATTTTTCGCTAGTAGTCTTGATCCTCTACTATCTGGCTTCAACCTACCCTTTTCTCCAAACTCGGGTCAGATGCTTCACTGTTCTTTAATTCCCCACTTGTAATCCTTAGCTCAAGCTCTTTCCTCAATATCACATCTTTTCTTCATTTCCACTTGTTGAAATTCTATCCATGGTCAAGTGCCAACTCTAGAACTTACTCTTTTCTTGTGCCTTTCCTCCTTCACAGAGCCAGACTAGGATTTAAGTTTATACTTTCTATAAAGCATTTGTCACAAATCTATTGCAAATGCCTTTGCATCATCTGGTTTTATATATATAAAATATTATAAATACATACATATATACATACACAAAGATTAGCTAAAGCAGGTTTACAGTTGTATGCGAAACACAGAGTTTATTCTTGTATTACTATTTATTATCTTATTATTTTTTGTATTACAACTGTAAGCCTACTTTTGCTCACCTCTGTATAAATTATTAATCATCTAGCTCTTTCTGCCTGGTCTATGATTTACTTCGTTTTAATTTTATTCATCTTATTATCTCCTATAATTTTATTCATCTCATTATAGTTTTCCTCTTCGTATCTCCTATAGTTTTCCAATAATATAATAGGCAACAAGAAAATTTAATGAATACATATGTGGATGGTTGAAAGACAGCATAAATGTGACAATGAAAAATAAGGTTAATAATTAAAGAAAAAATTGAAACGAGGCAGGACCATGAATTATAGCATTAGATTTGAAATGAACTTTTATAAGTTGAAATCATTTTCAGAAAAAAGCATACAAAAAATGAAGTTTAATAAAAGTAAAATTCATACATGAATTCTCAAGGAAGAAAAAGAACAAGCTCAAATTCTGCAAAATCACGCATTTATATGTGACTATAAGATAAAAATAAGTATAGCTAATAACAAATTTCAAGTGACTAGAGTAACAGAATCATGCAGAAGGTATGAAAACAGGGGTGCATAAATATAAAGTGTACCTGGAGAAATATACCAGGTATCTTAATGGGAGGACAGGAATAACCCAAAGTTTTCTGAAAGACTACTATAGGCACAGTAGTGTTTTTAGAAAGATGATTGGATGATATTTATCACTTGGTCCTCACAGCAGCTCTATGAGGTAGATATCATTTGTAGATAAGGAATTTGAATTAAAGATTAAAGTAATAACCTCAAAAAGGTGTAGCTAGCCTGGCTAGTGTGACTTATTTGGTTTGGCATTGTGCCGTGCACCAAAAGGTTGCTGGGATTGATTCTTGGTTAGGGCACATGCCTGGGTTGTAGGCTTGATCCCCAGTAGGGGGTGTGCAAGAGGCAGTGGGTTAATGTTTCACTCTCACATACATGTTTCTCTCTCTCTCTCTCTATTCCTCTCTCTCTAAAAATCAATAAAAATATAGCTAGTGGGGATTAAAACCTGGATTTGACTACACGTCTACCTAAATCCAAGATTTTCAAGTAGGTCACATATAGAATCTCCAGTATCGAGTGGCTCAAATCATTTATCAATATCATCTCTGGTTCCTCCCTATTCTTCACCAAGTCAAGCCCAATCAGTCACCAAGTTTTGTCTGTTCTTCTACAAAAGATGTATTTGTTTCTTTCTAAAGTCCTTGCCATCACCTCAGTCAGCTTCTACCTTCTATGCAATAATTCTTTCCTCGTATCTACTTTTCCCCTCATTTCAGCTTATTCTTTGTATGACAACTAGAGTAATCTGATAAAAATTCATAAATTACCACATGACTCTATTATAAATATATGTATGGCTTCTCATTATTCCTGGATTACAGTTCAAAATTTTTAACATGACCTTTAAGACTTCCATAAATTGCACCTTTAGTTGCCTAATTCTTTTTATGCCACTTTTCACATTATTGTTCTTCACTATCTCTCATTTCTCTTATCTTTTTTTTTTTTTGGCTTGGTTTTTAGTTTTCAGCTTAAGTAAGAGCTACTTCTCCAGGGACCCTATCTTTGACTCTCAGGTGTCAGTTAAATCCCCTTGCTATGTGCTTTTGCAACACTTTGCACTTCTCCATTTACTTTGTCACATTGAGTTCTGCTCATATAAAAAATCTGAGAGAAGGATTTGATTGAGTTGATCTGTTACATTCTAGCGTCTAAGGTGGTGCCTGGTGAGTGGTAAAGTCTCAATTTATCTTTAATGTTGTGATGATCAATTAAAAATTGAAAAATAAGTTTTCAAAAGGAAGTTCCTTAAATGAACATTCTATCTCTCAGTATCATTTAAATGCTGTTTTACTGTCAGTGAAATCACTCTCAGGGGTTGAAGTGACATCCTCAAACTTGGCTGAATATGTGCTATGTGGTAGACCAGATAACTCCAGTGCCTCTATCACCCTGAGCTGCCTTGTGGTTCTGATGAGCTCCTAGGTTTCTCTGCCTAAGAAAGCCCATTCTGGTCCTTTGTCATTATAATATGTGTATCAGTTTGACACTGTGGATATGAAATTATTAGGGGCATCTACATTTTTCATTTATGCATTTAATAATGAATTCCACAAATGTCTATTACATAAATAGTATGCTCAAATATTATATCAAGCATTGAGTAAATACTGGTGAGGCAGATAAGTAAGGTTACTTTCCTCACAAAGCTTAGAATTTTCTGCTTTAGTTCACTTCAGACCCAGGTAAATCAGAAGGTATTCATTCATGCATTGATTGGAAGGACATGAATAAGCAGCTTTGCACTGAGGAGGTCAAATTTAAATTCATGAAACTATTAGAGGTCAATCATAATGGCTGTGCTAGAAAAAATAATTTCTGTGCTACAATAATCTTAAGAAAGAATGTCTTGTTATCTATCTCATCATACCCAAAAAAGTACATAATTTCAATAGTAAATTGATTTGAATTTTCTCTCTTTGAAAGAGGTTAAAATTCATTAAGTATAATTTATATGCATTTGACAAATAATTTTTGCTTGGTTTTAATGGTTTAGGTACATGTCACTGTGGCAGATGTAAGTGTGACAATTCAGATGGAAATGGACTCGTTTATGGCAAATTTTGTGAGTGTGATGATAGAGAATGCATAGATGATGAAACAGAAGAAATATGTGGAGGTATGTATATTAACTGCAGAAATTAATAAAGTACTTGATTTTTCACTTGTTTCATTGTGCTTTTATCTCTCTATAAATTTCCCGTACCAGCTTTATGAATTGTATCTGAACTTACATTATTTGGAAACATTTTATATAAGGAAAGTTATACTAAGGCATTCAAAGTAACTTGTACTTTTAAATGC